CTCCATGTAAACAGGCCCTAAGTCACTTCGCCCGCCGATTTTTTACATGTTCACTCCCTAATTTTTGCCGCCCGCAGAAACTCTGCTTTGCAAGAGGTTGGACATTAAGACCCTGGGTGCAAGGTTGGGACATTTCGTCCTCTTTGTCTATTCGCTCATTCGACAACTTGGACTTGTCTATAGTTCGATGTTCTACAAACGGTGTCAAAAACGTATTTCGGTTATCCATTTAAAATTAGTTTGGGCATTGTTGACACCAAATTCTTCATACCCCCATCATTACAGGTGTTTTTCGCAGTATCGTCCAGCGTTTATAATGGCTAGATTACATCATATTATTATCTTTATCGCATCGTACAAAAACGTATTTAACTAAAACATGCAATCTATTATTTTCTATTATTTAAAAGTAAGTAAAAACAACAACAATCAAAACAGTAATTTCACCAACTCTATTTTTCAAGCATGTTAATTTGCCATGGCAGCTTGAGTTTGCATAACCACTGCAGGTAGGGATGCATGGTTTGACCATTTGGAATTTTCTTCCACCATTTGAATCGAAGCTTGTGGAGAGCTCGCATTGGCACGAGGCCAAAATGAGCTATACTCTGAGCTGAGATCTTTACGAGACCTTCGAGAAACACATGGTCTTGAACGGAAGCATAGCAGCTTGCCAGCACGTTATCGACGATCAGGTTTCCATGTACGGTAAAAGGACAGTACACGCCTTGCTCGATCACTTTGTCAACAGCCAAAACTTTCTTAGGTGAAATTTCCCGGTTTTCATCAACTGTGAACAGGATCTCTCCAGGTTTCACCTTTTGGGCTAGGATTGCCTTTTTGTGCTTTCCAACCATAATCAAATGGTTACCAGTTAGAGTGATTTTGTTTCCATCTTCCAGGGCAATTTTCAGATACTCCACATCCATAGCATCCGATGCACGATGCGCAAACATGATTACTTCCGTAAAAATGGCTCGATTACGCTTCTCATCCCACCCCATAATCTTATCGCCGACTTCGAGTTTCACCATTTTCTTTTGTTTTACTACACCATCTTTGTTCTGGATATTAACCAGTAAGCTTGAGGGAAAACATCCACCACCGCCGCTTTGTTCTGGTTGTTGAGCAGAAGCTTGTCTTGTATTTGCCTCTTCCATTTTCTTGGCACTTTCGTCCGCTGCACGTTTCTGTTTCTCCTCCTCGGCAAGAACTTTAAATTCACCTCCCAAAAGATCCTTAAGTGCATCGTAAGTTGTTTGGTCTTTTTTGGGATCGACACAGGCTACTCCAGTTGAAATAGGTTCTAGTGTCATTTCTGAAGTAAGCATCATTGGGTTTACGAGCAAAGATGCTTTCCATTTCTGCATCTTTTCTTTATCAGCGATTGTCTCCTTCGCTTGAAGGGCCATGTCGCCACCTTCCCAAGAATGAGTACATCGGTTCAACAAAGCCTTTGCGTTCATGTCATCAGAGGAACTGCTGCCTGCATTGAATTCTACGTCTACCCCCTCACACGCGGCTGTCAGGGAAGCCTTCGCTTCTTCTAAGCTCGCTGATGTTCCTCCAATCGTTTCTCTGCTACATTTTATTTCGACTGATCCTCCTCCAAACGCCGAAGATACCAAAAAATGACCGAAACGATTGAAGAATCTCTCGAAATGACTTCTGCAACTGGGTTCACTTTTGTTATACGTGCTTGGCAAGTTCGCAACATCTGACTCGAAATCACTTGTGAAGGTCATGCCATTATTCAGAGATTCCTTGTAGTTGCCAATCTTTATTTCAAACATTCGTTGTTCGAACAAGAAGGAAAATTCCGACGTGGAGGAGGTGGAATTATTACTCTTATTACATCCAGCTCTGCAACCCGCCATCACGTTCTGTTCGACATTTAAACTTACATTAAGATTTACCAACCTCGACTGCGTGTATGATTCATCATTTTCAAACTGATCCATAGAGCTTCTGGTTTGCTGAACCTTCTCAAATTTCACACACTTCGGAATTGCAATACCGTATTGGGTTTTGGTAACATCAAACTTCATCACTTGGGTGGCGACTGATTTATCGGTTAAGATGTTATAGCCTTGACCAACTAGACGACCTATAAAAATTTAAAATAAGGTAAGATGCATATTTGAAATTTACGGTGCGAAATACAACTAAATACTAATAAGTATAAGTAATAGGATAGTTTCGACGGCATTTTGGATAAAACATGCACGAGTTAGTTTTTCAAAGAACATCAAACAAGCGCGAGTCCGAAGGACAACCGCCATTTAAAGTGTTTGAAAAACTCACAATTTGATAATGGATCGTCATGGGTTTCCTGTAAGGTTTGTATTTTCCATTGCTGAGGTCGAAAGTGGCATCTAAGAAGTTTAGTACGCGTAAATTTGCCTCTGTTGTAATTTTTAAGTTAAACTGCTCGAAAGTTGGGTGGAGTTATTTTAGCGTTTTATCTGCCAAACGTGCTGGTCTATTTTTTATGATAATTTAATTATCGCAACCGAAAGAACGGAAAAATACAATTGATACTGAGTTTGAAGATGACTCACAATAAGTAATAGACACTGTGGACAGTGCCACAGAAAACACTAGTGATAATGATGCCTCCCTTGCTAATCAGTACACTGTTTGTGTGAACTGCAGCTGTACATACTTGGAAGGTGACATGTTTGATTTGTCAGGAAAAAAGTGATTTTGAAAAATATTTCGAGGCTGACAGGGAAATTCAACTAGATGCATTGTCGAAGACCCTGTTCCTCTAAGTTTGACTGAAATGAGACAACAAAGAGTGGCTATTTTTTCAAGGCAAGAAGAGAATATTGATATGCACTCCTATGTGGATTTATGCGTATTTAACATAGCCTGTCCACAAGGGTTATATAGCTGGTCCAAAATCTTCAGGTTTTGGCAGGCATCCCTGCTTCAATTTCTTTTGCCCGCAAGCAAATTTTGCCCGCTAATCTAAAGGCGATGCCTGCTGAGGAGGCTATAGTTATGTTTTGACGTGTTCTCGAAATGACGTCACGCCGGCGCTGAAAGTCATTCTCGCCCCAGTTCTTTTATGCTCACGATAACACGAAAAATCACCAACTTTGAGCCGGCCAAAAAAACTCTTAGAATAACCTAAATAATCGAAATAGACCAATTCCCTGACCATGACATAGGCACTTTAATTTAAAACAAGATTAAATTCACACACCAAGAAATATCTTAAACTATAAATAATTTTAATTAAATAACATGATTACCTTAATTGATTACCTAAAATAAGTAACCATGCAAGTAAACAATATAAATTAAAAAGCAAAGCAATTATTTTGTTACTTGATAATTGACAGGACGCGAAAGTATTAACAACGCATAACATAACACCAAGCTATTAAGATTGCGCGGTATATTTAAAACAAAAATGTGATGTCTCGAGTATGGGTTAGGGTAAAACGCGGATGCGAACGGACGGATAAAAGGGTATAATGCGGACGGACGGATGAAAGGGTAAAATGCGGACGGATGAGAGGGTAAAATGCGGACGGACGGATCACGGATGAGAGGGTAAAATGCGGATATGAAGGTATATCGAGTGGTAGTTGTATTTTTCATGCAGAATTAAAACCCTAACCTTTGCCACTTTCATAAATTATTTTCTTTGTTATCCGGTCGTGTAGTATTCTAATTTTTAATATAGTGCCATTGTGATGTGCTATTTTTAGAGGTCTTTTCAATGCAGTTATCTAAATATACCTATACCGATTTTCAACGAAAATGTTGAAAAATCTTTATCCCATACCTGACTCTAACACCTTGTTAATCGGGGGTTTCGTTGCAATTTTAAACTGTTCTTGTAGCATCTGCCGTCCAACGGACGAAATTTCGCCACCACGACAATACTCGATGTATCCTAGGGCGTGTGAACCAAAGCTCGGTGGATCTCCAGTGGCAAGATTTCTCAAAATTAAAGCAATTTCCCACAATTCATCTTCGTGATCTTGAAGTCCCTTTTCCTGGATATACTGCTTAACACCATGGTCAATAGGATCTCTAATTCCTAGCAAAAAAAGGCGAATAAGACAAAATTAGACTAGAAATTGAAACATTCCCTTTACGCTTAATACATGAAATACCCAGTTTCAACTTCGTTCGGGTGAATTTCAAACACAACCATACGGGTGAACGACTGTAAACATATCTGCGTTTAAACTTGCGTAAGCATTTTCAAAAGAGTCGAAAATTAGTCAAAAACGGCCTATTGAACTAATTTGATACCATTACGCTGGGCATCGCCAGTTTATTTCCTGGGCGAGTTAGTGATGAGTAAACACGGAGATAAGCCGCGCCCCTCGCTTTCAGATTTGACAGGGTCCAATTATTTTTTCTTTGTGGCTAGTTGAAATGTCAAATTTGGAGTATGCCACATCGATTAGCAACCAACCGATTTGAGACAGCTTCGTGAAGCGTTGTTTGAGCAGCAAATGATTCAAGATTCCTCCAATTCGCCGTTTTAGCCATGCATGTTTCGGCGTTCAACGCCTCGTCAGTGCAGCTTGGTACACGTCTAGATCATAGATATATAAGATATCTATGGTCGATAGATACATGATACCTCCGCATTTATACACATGAGGGTATCATATATATATATATATATTTTTTATACTCGATTCCTTGGCAAAGAAATATGGTAAAGATCGCGTCGGCCTTTATCGAGACGATGGTTTAATCCTACTACGAGGTACTTCTGCCCGGCTTGCTGACAAAGCTAGAAAAGATCTCCACCAACTTCTCGATGAGTTTCAATTGAAAATCACCACAGAAACTACCCACCAATCTGTCAACTTCCTAGATATTACCTTAAATTTAAATGATGAAAGCTACCAACCCTATCGAAAGCCTAACAATGAACCACTTTTCATTGACAGTCATTCAAACCATCCTCCTTCAATCACAAAGCATCTACCATCTTCTGTTGGCAACCGAAT